GAACTCCACAGGCCACTGCGCTTAAAAGTTCCAGAGATTGGCTTTTATCTTGAACGCCTTAATCTTTGATTGCTTCTGAGTCGGCACTGAACGCCGAAGCCCTGGGGCAGGAGCAGCGCTGGCAGCTGCTGCGGCCGCCCGGCCCGGCGCCCGCAGCGCGGTATGCCCACAGCGCGGCCGTGGCCGGGCAGCGGATGCTCCTCTTCGGAGGTTCCGATGGCGCCGGCCTGAGGCTGCTCCAAGCATCAGCAGATCCGGGGAGCAATGCGGAGCACGGGGCGGGCCGCACATATTGCCAGGGGCAAACTCTTGGGTCCCTGAGCTGCTGAGGACAATGTCTGGCCGACCTCTGGAGCTTCGACCTGCAGGCGAGAAGCTTGGGGAATCGCTGTGAAAGCAGCAGGTTGCAGGAAGTCGTGGCAACGACGTAGCTAGCTTGTACAAAGCCTACGCCCATACGCCCCTCAACCCTAAGCCCTTACAGCTTCATTGAATCCTGGACTAGCCCTCTCCTCTGAACTAAGGCCCAAAGTTCCGGGCTCGGGTCGGGGTGGGGGGAGCTAGGGATCCGCGAAGCCTTCGCCCTCACACTTCTCGCCAGTGTTCCTGGACCCATGGCCCCATTTGGACGAGTTCGAGGTAAGCGTTCAGAGCTTAAGCTCGAGCGGCCGAGGGGGCCTAGAGACCAAGTGCTCAGCTGTGTTGAGGGTCCATAAGGGTCCCGACATGCATAGTCGCACAGCGGGTGCTTGGAAGGTTTGGGACAGGTGGAAGTATCCTGAAGCTCACTGCGGACTTCGTCCTCAACGCCTTCACCACTTCAAGCCCTGAATGCCTGAACCCCAGATACTCTACGCTCAACGGCCTGTAAACACTCTCGTCTTATAGCTGCTGAAACCCTAAGCACGTAGGCTCAGTTGGAATCATGAATCAGGCTTCTGCGCTGCCTTTGCTGTGGTAGGAGAGGCTTGGAGAGCTGAGCCTCAAGGTCTCGAAGGGCGCTGAACGCCGAAGCCCTGGGGCAGGAGCAGCGCTGGCAGCTGCTGCGGCCGCCCGGCCCGGCGCCCGCAGCGCGGTATGCCCACAGCGCGGCCGTGGCCGGGCAGCGGATGCTCCTCTTCGGAGGTTACAATCATGGCGCCGGCCTGAGGCAGCTCCAAGCATCAGCAGATATGGCGAGCACTGCGGAGCACCGGGCGAGGGAGGAAGGGGCGGGCCGCACATATTGCCAGGGGCAAACTCTTGGGTCCCTGAGCCGCTGAGGAGGACGTTTGGCCGACCTCTGGAGCTTCGACCTGCAGGCGAGGGGCTTGGGGAATCGCTGTGATCTCCAAATAAGCAGCGGATGCATCGCAGCATCGCTCCTGCAGATGCGCACGTCCTGCAGCCCAACGTTTGTGTTTGTTGTTGCTGTTCTCTCCTCGGTCAGGGTTGCAGGAAGTCGTGGCAAAGACGTACCCGGCCGGGCTGAACAATGGTTTCCCTGTATCTTGGTCATAGCTGTCCATAGCCAAGCTGCTTCAAGAATCATCCTTTCCACATGAAGTGCTGTAAATAGGCAACACAGACACCACAACGTCTGCTGAAATTCTATCTGCTTTTCACTGTTAGCCGCTCAGAATTAGGGTTGTGTCCAGAGTACACGCTGGAAGCGAACGAGGACTCAGCACGTCCTCTGTCCTCCGTCGGGGCACCTTTGTAGTCTTGTCCACAACATGCATCAAAGTAGCGGTTTCTGCCTCCATCCCTGCCCACGTCGGTATGAGCAGAGTTTCGGAGTGGTACTTTTGAAATTCGTGTGCGGAATGCCCAACTGCCCCATCTCTTCTGCTCGTGCAGGCCTAGGCAAACCAGCCTGCGGTCTCAAGTCATGCATGTTTTCTGCAACAGTAGGGGCTCGTGAATCATTGCACCTTAGCCGCGACACAAACCGGTGTAGAACAGCGCTACACTTTCGAAATTGACTCTTGGACCTTTTGCCGGCAGGTGTCCCGGTGTCCAGTCCTGAACTGAAGTTGACAAGTGAAAGAAGGTGTCCTTCACACTCAAGGTTGCGTCTGCGCTTCTCTCTGCAAGTGTGCTTTCGGCAAACACTTGCTACGGCACATCGTCAGGCGTCGCCTCTCCACTTGCAACGCGCCCCAAAACACTCTGCTGGACCGGGTGCTATCTCCAGGTACCGCCGACCAGCTTCTGCCCATGACTCGCCCGGTCCGTTCTGTTTTCCATGGCGTCCTTTTCGCTCTCAGTAGCCAGCCTGGGAGAACCTGAGATCCTTTGTCCTTTGTTGTTGCAAGAACGTGTGATGCGCGCAACTTAGAAGAATTTTTGCGGACACCAGGAAACCACGCAGGACTCGGAGATAGTGGTTCTCAACTGGCAAAGATAACAGACACGTTGCACTTCACCCCTGTGGAAAATGATGTGGTAGCCTTGTTGAAGCCATGAAATGGTGGGCGGCCCTGGTCGCCTTGCTAGACGAGTCTCAGGACTTTTTCATCCAGCATGATCCAGTCTGACTCTCCCGTTTCCGTGTTACTCAAGAAGGGGGGGGGGCATTGCCGTGGCACTGCCGCGTCAGACGCTCCGTGCGGGGTCAGCAGCTTTGATGGGCCTTTCAGCAAGTTCGTCTTGTGAACCACGGATTGCAAATGTTGCCAGACTTCCTGCTTGATCTTGGAAATCGTTCTTGGCCTGCAGCTTTGGAAACCGGATCTTATTTTGAAAGTAGGCTAGATCTCTGAGACGGGGCCTTTCGGGATTTCACACTTGTGAGACACCAGTATAAGTCTACGTTCTGGTCCTTGCACACAGGGCTCGTCTTGGTCAAGGCTGCATACTCGGTGTCCTGTATTGGAAGTTCTCTCTTGGCGCTACTCCATTCTCATTTCGGTGCTTGCAGTCGTGCATTGCAAATCAGAGAGTCGTTGCCATTGCGCCTCGGTGGGCCGTGATGCGCACTTAGCCGCACTTGTTGTTTTAGAGGAAATCCAGACTAACAGCATCGCACTTCGCCTTCATTGAAGCGTCGGAGATATTCAGTCTTCTGAACCTCAAACTTTGAGCGGCTGCGCTGCTGGAACGAGAGTCCCCGTGCAGCATTGTTTCAGCAGGCCCGAAGCAACGAAAAGCGAAACCCGAGCCGAACCTTAACACGAGCAAGGTTGGGCAAGGCGACACAAAAGACATGTAAGTCCACTTCTTTCTTGTTCCTGCCTGTGATTGTGAGGGCACATATCGCCAAGTCCCAGGTTTGCAAAGAGGTTTGTCCTGTCCCTCGGTGCCGGAGCTTTTGGCAAGAAATCGCTCCAGCGCAGGGACGTTGCGTAGCATAGGCTGTATTTTCAGAGATCTTCCATCTCTTGCGTTGCTCACAAAGACCACCAAAAACCAGCTATTTCAAAACGTCGCACACATGAAGTCCAGATACGTGGTTGCAGGATGCAAGCAGTCCTCAGCCGAGGGCTGCAGTACTTCTCGACAGATGCCAGCGGTATGCGGGTACCCGAGCCTTAGTTTCAGGAAGGCCGCAAGTCCTCTCCTGTGCGAAGTCTCTGCTGCGCGTGACGCAACATATGGGCGATCGCTGCCTAACAAATCTAGCGGGCAGGAAGGGATTCTTTGCGCTTGCAACAAGACGGCCTGCTTGTCCATCCAAGGACAATCAGCCAGGCTGGACAGTCTGACGTCGATCTTGCCTGGCAGCTAAATACTTCTTGGACAAGTCTTCATGAGACGATTTGTGTCTGGTTGCTTCACAGCGGCACGCCGGAATGTTCGGCACACCTGACTGAAGCCCGGCAACTAAGATAATTAATGGCCACAGAAGTTGCGCATCACGAAAAACATGGCATGTCGGCAAGCGAGCTTCCGTGAACAAGAGCCTGACCATGGACGTGCCGTCGAAATCCAATCGCACATGCTGAGCCTGTGGATGATGTGGTGTGGGATGACGATCTTCATGTCTCGGCAAGCACTGCCGCGAGGCTGTCCTGCCTTGCAGCGCGCAGGTTCGGCAAGCGAAACTTGTGTAACAAGCATTCAGACACGGAGCATTTTCGTGCTTTCGTTTGCACAGGGGCCGGATCTCACGCACTCGAGGAGAATGTATCCGCCCCCTGGAGGCCTCTGCGCGACCCTCCAAAACTGTGGGCTCCCCACTGCGTCATGCAAGCGCAGGAAGAACAGCAGTGTCATGATGCCAGAGGTGTTGTGGTGGGTTCACAGCCACGGGGTTTGGTTTGCCTTCTTGGCCGAGGTACAAAAACGAGGCCTGCCCTTCGCTGCACGCTACACCTGAGGTTGCATGGTTACGAAAGCGCATCATTGGGCAATGCAATGTATTTGACTTGTGTATGTCTGGCGAACAAGGGTCCGTCACGGGCTTTGGGAAATAGGTTGTGTTGGATGGCAGTTCGCACGTCTTCGTAAGCATGCCAAGGGCCATGCTCCTGTTTGGAAGCATCCTCGCCGACGCCAGATCTGTAATGCCATTTGCCCTGACTTGCTGTCTCGTCGCTTGGCACTTGGCCCAAATGTTTGTTGCTTTTGTGTCTGTTACCACATCGAGCCCGGCATCTATTGGATTTCAACCATACGCCCGCGGTGGAATAGCCTGCTTCCTGCTTTCCGGCTTTTGCGTGCCAGCAAGGATAGGTAGCAACAGGCCATCGCTGCTTTCTCTGAGGAGTTGATGCAAGAAGTCAATCCACGCCAGAAGTACACCACGGCTTGGAAAGTTCTTGAATGTTGGAGGTTGCGCTGCCCTCCTGTGCATGGGCCCGTCAGTTGTGGGGACAGCGGTCCATTTTCCGAGCCAGCGAGCTGCCCCATCTGACGTTCCAAGCTTTTGCCTTTTTTCCATTCAACTGTGATGGTCATCTTGGGTGTTACCATACGTGGTTTGGAGCAGAAGGTGTTGCTTCAGCATGGAAACATGAAAGCCGAGGAACTTGACTTCGATCTCCATCGGTTCCTCCGACCCGTATGGTTTTCTAGTCATGGGTCTGCTTCGAAGACCGGCAAGTGCTCACGATGCTGCGTTGCGGCGCTCGTCCGACGTTGCGAGCATATCCCTCATCCTGCTTTGCCATCTCTTTGCCTTTGTGGGTGAGCTGGGCCTCTTCCTTCTGATGTGGCGTTTCCTCATCATCATCATCATCCTTGCCAGAAGCTCCAGTCTTGTCAGCCTCAGATACCACAGTTTCAGATGGAGGATGCTACGACCTGGAGCCTTCAGAGGTGTCCCTTTGGGGAAACTGAAAATGCTTGGGCCCAAAACGACTATGTCTCGAGTGACAAAGAACCCCCCCCAAAAAAAAGCTTAAAGCTTGGCTTTCAGGATCTTTCAGGCTTCAGGGAGCCAAATGCCCCAGTCGGAGTCAGGCTTCTGCGCTTTGCTGTAGGAGAGTCGGCACTGAACACCGAAGCCCTGGGGCAGGAGCAGCGCTGGGAGCGGCTGCGGCCGCCCGGCGAGGCGCCCGAAAGGCGGAGTGACTGCAGCGCGGCCGTGGCCGGGCAGCGGATGCTCCTCTTCGGAGGTTACGATGGTAGCGCCGGCCTGAGGCAGCTCCAAAAGCATCAAGCAGATCCGGGGAGCACTGCGGAGCACTGGGTGGGGAGGAAGGGGCGGGGCCGCACGTATCGCCAGGGGCAAACTCTTGGGTCCCTGAGCTGCTGAGGAAATCGTCTGGCCGACCTCTGGAGCTTCGACCTGCAGGCGAGGGGCTTGGGGAATTTCTTGCGGCTGGCGTGCTTGCCCAACGGTGGCAAGGTATGAGCTGAAGGTCTTTCTGGTCGTTGTTCAGTCCTTGCATGCTCAGCAATGCGCAGTCCTGGATTGGTTCAGCAACATCTGCACGGGAACTTTAAAAACCCAGACCTTCACTTTGATCATACCTTTTACACACTTCAAAAACTGCAACCTCCTAACCTCTGAGGGGCTGATCCAGCCCGCGGCTCCTGAGGCAAGGCCTTGAATCAGGGAATATGCGGTGGAAGGGGCATACAGGGTGTACAGGGCGTGTCGGGTATGTAGGACGGATAGGTTGAGTACACCGGGGATGTTCTGAGGAAGATCCGGGAACTTGGCCCAACCAGTCTCAATCCCAAAGCCCCCGCACACCTTGAAGCCGCCCAAACCTAAATCCTCAAGCGCTTCACTTTCAACCATCCGTTATAAGGTCTAGAAACCTTCAACCGTCATAAAACTCTCAATGTGTGGCCCTGCACCCCTTAGCTGCCTTAGCTCAGACGGCACAGCCCCCTCCCCATTTTCAAAGATCAAAGAAACTTGAAACTTCCAGACTCCAGGCTGCGCAGGCGGAGCTTCCGGAGGCGGTGCACGAGGACCTGGACCTCCAGGGCTGCTGGGCCCAAGCTGGTCAGTGTGCTCATATTCTATACAGACTTCTACATCACAAGAACTGGCCCTAGGGTTTATATGTGGATTGTCGGCCGTTGAGCGTCTTTTGGTAACTCTTCGCTTCGAAGCTTGCAGGGTTGCATGATCGGAAGCGAGGGAACCGAAAGACGGCACGCGGCTGGTTTTGTAGGAGGGGTTAAGGCCGAGGCATCCTGCTGCCGGCGCGTGGCTACGAGGGCGGCCCCGCCGCTGCAGCGCCGGCAGTACCTGCCCCTGCCGCAGCACTGCCAGGGCTGCCAGGGGCAGCCGCTCCACCCCCCCCACCCGCGGCAGCAGCTGCCGCGGCGCCAGCAGCTGCTGCGGCGCCAGCAGCTGCCGCAGCGCCAGCAGCTGCCGCGCCGGAGGCTCCTCCAATCCCCTTCCGGGAGGCGTGGAAGTTTCAGCTGAGCCTGACAAGTCTCACAGCCAAGCCTACGTACATTGATTGCAACTGCTGCGACTGTTGAAGACGATGTTTCGCCGCTCATGTGGCGAAGACATCAAGCTCATGTAGTACACGAAGGGTCCCTTTGCACTTGCTACGTGTGTTCCAAGTCCGAACTGTTCCACATCCTGAGATTGAGCCAAAATAAACCGGTTCGCTGCACGGCTTGAGCCCGGAGGCGCGAAACGCACTCGCGAATGCGCTAGAACCGAACGCTGGCTGAGCAAGCAGAGTTTTTTTGAAGATGACATTGGGGGTTGGTTTGCTTGATTCAGTGCTGGGATTTCTTGTAGTGCTCTTATTCATGACATGCCTTTGCGCTGGAGTTCCACTGTTGGCAGGCAACACGCAAAAACCATTCTCCTTGACCCCACCAAACTCAAACACCAAATCCTTGCTTTGTCTTCTTCTGCCGCAAATGAAACAGACAATCCGGGCGCTCTGCCCTAAACCCCCAACACAAGACTTGTTCCATTGGACCAGAAAGTCTGAACCAGCGTGGAAAGCAACAGCACAGCACCAAAGCGCTACCTTCCTAGCACTGCAACTTTGCATCTTTGCAGTTGAGTTTTATAGGGCCAGGGTGGCAATGTTCGACGTGGTAGTACTTGGTTTGGTGCTGTGATTTCTTGTAATTCTATAGTGCTCTTGTTCGTGGCATGCCTTTTCGCTGGAGTTCGATCTGGGTATGCCCAACATCCACCGTACTGAGAAACAAGGCGGCCTTCGCAAGGCCAACGGCAGCCCGCCGTGGCACGCACGCCTTCCTTCCAAAGCTGAATACCTGAGTCCATGCCCGCAAAGCCTCCTCCTGCAGCCCCCCTGCCCGGCCCTGCACCCCAAAAGCCACTCATGTGCGGCCCCATTGATACAAACAAACAAAAAAGGAGGCCCGGGCAGCCTCCTTGCACGAATGCTTTCAATTTCAATCCGTCAGCCGGCACCCAAATCCTCCCCACCCCAGGAATGCCCAAGTGTTACTGATTGCTGCAACGGAAAGCCCCAACCGATGGATAAGAGTATAACTCGCTATGTTGTAGTCTCTCATTGTATTACATGTCATACACGGTGAGTACACGGTGCAGTATACCGCGTGGTATCGTGGCCATCCTTTTTTGAGAGGTCCATGAGCCTGCTATGGAGCACTATAGACCCTCGACGCCAATCTATGTCCATGAAGAAGAGCTGCTTTCTCGAGGAATGCTCCGCCGGCAGAGTTGCCTTGGGACTTTTTGCAGCACTGCACCAACAACTTTGCTGAGGAGATGCTCTGAAGATCCCCAGCCAGTCATTTGAGTAATTAGAGGGACGCAGACGCCAGCCACATACCTGCTCCGTGCACGAGTGCTGCAACATACACAAACCGATTACGCCCCATTGCGGAAAGCGGAAGCCTGAAGGCATTCTTGCAATGTAGGAGCGGCTGTTGGGGCGTGGGGCCTTCGGCCACTGCTTCCGCGCGGTGGATGCCGTGAACGGCTGCTGCTTCGCGGCGCCTTGGTTTTGAAGTGTCAAGTTTGCGGCAAGAAGAATGTCTTCGTGGAAGGACTGCAGGCTCCAGCGCGTTCATCCCAAAGAGTTTCACAAGCAAGAATTGTGATGAAGTCATGAAATGTCACGAACCTAGCCTTTTAAAGAACTTGTGCCGGCTAGACGGTCTGGTGACCGGTGCCTGCTTGGCTTTGATTGTTTAAGTGCTTTGATCATGCTGCAGCAAACAAGCGGCCACTCTTGAGTAGGAGGTGTTGCATTGCGTTCTCCGCGCTTCTTCAGTACTCTTAGACGGCTCCTTCAGGGTGCAGTGCAGATGCAGGTGAAGCAGCTGGTGGCCAACGCAGTCCTTCCACGATACAATGCGGAGAGGGCGCGAAAGACAGCACAGACAGAGGTAGGGGGATGGCGTGGGGGCGGCGGTTTGCGTAGGAGTGACACTAGTCGAAGTATACTTTCGTCCAGTGGCTAGAGAAATTCTGAAAAAGCCAGCAGTTCATCTCATGCTTGTGCACGCTCGGCACCCAGACCCTCCGCCCTGCAGACCCCAAATCCCGATGATGATAAACCATAAACTGCCATAAACCCTAAAATCCTTGGGACAGACTCTGAGCCAAGACATGCTTGCCCTTGCAGGTGGACGTGCTCCGGCAATTCAGGCTTTGGGGTACTGAGTTTAATCTTTGTATGATGTGTAGGACTGAGTGAGAACTTACTACATCGCCTGGGAGGATTGGGCAAGAAGGTTGCAAGCAGCTATGAGATCGCAGCTGCAGAGAGGATTGTAGGATTAGCATGAGCGCTGCTCAGGGACTGGAACTGGAGGACGCCAGTACCTGGTTCTTTGCAGCTCCAGAATACGTGTCCTTCTTGCACCTTTTGCAACTCTTACTCCCCACAGTTCTCTTGGAGGCATCCGCACATTGTGAAGCTTTTGGGCTTCTCGCTGCCCGACAATGCCGAGCACGAGCAGATCTGCCTGGCCTACGAGCTCCCCAGCCTTATTAAATATTTTTGAATAGAGCCCCAAACTCCCTAACCTCCCGAATTCTTCAAAGTCCTACACAGCAGAGGTAGGCTGCAGCGGTACGTTCACAAACCTGGGGCCTGTTTGGAGACGAACGCACCCCATGGTACGGAGCACAACAGGTTTCGCACTTCACAGGTGCTACTCGGGGGAACAAAAAGTGAACAAGTACAGTGAGAGCAGTGTTGTCACAACAGGGTCATCACTCTAATCGGCATAATGGTTGAAAGTATTGTCAGAGGACTTCAGCACTTTAGGATTGTTGTTCCCCTTTATACTAACAGTGCTTAATAGGATTTTCGCACCCCCTATGACAATCCCTATTAAGGACTGTTAGCATAAGGGGGAACATCCCAACTTTATAGGACAAAATCCTTGCTAATTAGGCTGCTCTCCGGCGGTTCCCTGGATGTTGCACTTCGGGAGAGGCCGAGCGAGCTGACTGCCAAGGCACCCCCTGCGCGGGTTTTCTTGGGGTTTTTAGGGTTCTTAAGAACTAGAAGAGGGATGGCCCGAAAGCATCGATTTGCCGTTGACTCCATGCAGTTGACTCTTTGCACTCGAAGTGTATGCACTTGGAGAAATGTATGCACTTACATGGTTGTATAGTCACTTGTACACTGCACTAGTCTAGTGGACGTGTATGCACTGGAACTGCATGGCATTCAAGTGTGTGGAGTTGAATGCCATGCACTTGTGGTCAACTGTATACACTTCATCGGCCTTCAATACATCTGAGGTTAGCGGAGTTAACGGACTTGAACTCGACATTTGTTAAACTTATTGCACCTGAGCAACTGTATGAACTTCACTTTTCTGCACCCGACTCGACTGCGCACGTCCAATCCACGCGAAGCCATGAAAGAAAAGATAAAAAAGCAAAAAGCATTCGACGCGAGAGCCGTCAGCCATGAGCATCATCGGCCGTCGCTCTGAAGTCCAAGCTCATAGTCCAGCGCGCCTTCCAGGAAGTCTTATCCGTGCGAAGCCATGAAAGAAAAGACAATCTAACGTGAGAGCCGTCAGTGTTCTACGTTTGTACAACAAAAGTCGACTTTCCAGCCACGGAAGCTCCGGGCGTCCCCGGCGTACTACATTTGTACTACAAAACTCGATTTTCCAGCCACGGAAGTCCCCGGCGTACTACGTCTGTACTACACAAGTCGACAAAAAAAGCAAAAACACTACGGTTTTCGCACCGCGACCACGCGAAAACCCGCAGAGGGGTTACGCTTGCATGTCAAGAAACGCAAAAACACGACGGTTTTGGCACCGCGCCAACGCCGAAACCCGCAGAGGGGTTACGTTTGTATGTCAACAAAAAACGCAAAAACACGACGGTTTTGGCACCGCGCCAACGCCGAAACCCGCAAAGGGTTGTCTGCGCCCACGAAAAAAAGTACCAAACACGACGGTTTTAGCACCGCGACCCGGCGATTACCCGCAGAGGGTTGTCCGCGGCCAGATAGAAACGTAAAAAAACGGCGGTTTTAGCACCGCGACCACGCCGAAACCCGCAGAGGGTTGTCCGCGGACACAAAGAAACGTAAAAAAAACGACGGTTTTGGCACCGCGACCACGCCGAAACCCGCAGAGGGTTGTCCGCGCAAATCAAGAAACGTAAAAAAACGACGGTTTTAGCACCGCGACCACGCCGAAACCCGCAGAGGGTAGTCCGCGGCCAGAAAGAAACGTAAACAAACGATGGTTTTAGCACCGCGACCACGCCGAAACCCGCAGAGGGTTGCAATCCCGATTGGCGATGTCAACCCAGCCCGCCGCCTTAGAAAGAGTAATTTTAGTTAGAAAGAGTAATGGAAATGCAGTAATGGAAATGCACTTGACTCTATGCACTTCACTCTGTGCACCTCACTCTATGCACTTCACTCTATGCACTTCACTCTATGCACTTGACTCTTTGCACTTCACTCTGTGCACTTCACTCTATGCACTCGACTCTGTGTACTTCACTCTTTGCACTTCACTCTGTGCACTTCACTCTATGCACTTCACTCTGTACACTTCACTCTATGCACTTCACTCTATGCACTGCTCTCTATGCACTTGACTCTGTGTACTTCACTCTTTGCACTTCACTCTATGCACTTCAGTCTATGTTGTTGGGTCAGAGGGCTCCGCACGGAAGAACCTTTCGCGATGCTTTCGGGAAAAATAATATCAAAAAATACTAGTAATAATAATAATAAGAAAATATATTAATTTATTGTATTAGAGCTTGAGGATTAGGAGTTTGGGGTTTTTGGGTGGGTGCATTCCCATCGCTTTTGAGCTTCTGCGTCAAGAAGGTTTCGGTTTCTGTCTTCTTCTGTCTCTTCCCTGGCCCCCTGTCTTTTCTCCCTTCATGAGCGACTAAGGCTCATGTTCATGTAGTTTCCTTCACGTGCTGTTGGTCTGTTCCGCGGGCTTGGGCGGTGTTGAGCATATCCACGAAATTTCCACTGAAGCTCCTTCCTGTTCACAAGGTGCTAGCACACTTTGCAATA